ATTTTCCCTTTTCCCATGTGTGTCAGGTTGACAACTGAAGCTGTTCAGCACAAATAGGTATTAAATCTGTAGATTAATTTTGATAGTACAGCCATTTTCACAATATTGATTCTGCCAAGAGAAAAGAATAATCAAAGTCAAGTTAGGAAAGAAGACGACTCAAAGCACAATCGTAAATTGTTATCATTTACCTTCCTCATCACATCTTTTCTCTAAGAGCAACTGTAGGCAAATCTCTCCTGGCTATGATACAGTGCAGGCCAGTACTGATGAACCTTTCTGTCTCCCAATAGAACCTTTTCCCTGAGACGTCACTCCTATCCTTGGACTATAAGAGGTAACATCAAAAAAGCACCTAGAGTCTGTAATACTTCAGTAACAAACAGACTTCTCTAGTGATTATTGTGCTGTATTGTTTTGTTGCTTTATTGTCGACAAATGGTCTAAAAGAAGTTAAAAACTTGGCCAGTGAGATGGCTCAGTGGGTAAAAGTGCTTGCCACCAAGCCTGATGATCTGAGTTCAATTCCCAGGACCCACATAGCAGAATGAGAGACCCAACTCCTGGAAGTTGTCCACTGACCTCCACAAATGTGCTGTGGCATGTGCATGCACACTCACACAAATAAATAAATACTCTATAAATAAATTTAAGATTAAAAAACTTAAAGCCAGAAATCAAACTGCATGTAGACAAATAAAGCTTTAAAACTTCGGAAAATGAACATTAACTATAGTCCCCAAAACAGAAAGTCTCCCTTCCTTTGTTTAACAGAATCCATTTTTACTGTAAAAATCTTAACCATAAACATAAGTTTTCCTTTCTATAGCATCAAACAGTGTCACTTATTAGTATTAAAGTGTTCAGGCTGGGGCCAGAGAGATGACTTAGCCTGCAGAGGACCTGGGTCAAGCTCCCAGCACCCACATGGCAACTAACAATTAGTTCCAAGGGATTCCAGTTCCATAGCCTCTTCTGACTTCTGAAGGCACTACACAACACATGTGCACTTACATATATGCAGGCAATACACTCATACATAAAATTAAAATAAAAAAATTTTTTTTGGTCTTTTTGAGACAGGGTCTCCCTTGTAGCCCCAGCTGGCCTGGAACTCACTATGTAGACCAGGCTGGCCTTGAACTCACAGAGATCCGCCTGCCTCTGCCTCCCGAGTGCTGGGATTAAAGGTGTGCCCAGGCAAAAAATATTTTTAAGTGTTCATGCTGGGCATGGAGACTCATACCTGTACTCCCACCATTCAGGAGAGCTGAGGCAGGAGGATAGGAGTTTGAAATTAGCCTGGGTTATATAGTCAGTTTCAGATCAGCCTGAGCTATAGTGTGAGACCCTGTCTATAAGTAAACAGATAAATAGTGTTTGACATTCTAAGACAAACAAGAAGTTTCAAATCCACCATTTTTATCCACCACCCGGGTCTTCCCAGTTCTGTCTGTACACTCAAAGTGCTTGAAGTTTCTAGAAAAGGCTATTCAGCAGAGCTGGTCTGCCTCCCCAC